AATCCCACGGATGTATTCAGGGGTGAAGTGCCTCTCTTTACATGGGTTGATTCAAGGTAACAGGTTTTTGTAGATAAGGCCTTTCTAGCTCTGAACTTAAAAACTAATATGTTGGGCTGCAGCCCCCAATAATAAAACTGATCTGTTTTACATTTTGCCAAGACTGGTCAGCCTATATGCAAATAGCCACATACAACTACTCAACAGGATTTGCTTATGTAAGATGCCAGGCCAAGATCGGTTTTCGAGAGCCGTGTAGAGAGGGAGGAAAAGATGTGACACACTGGAGATGGCAGGGAGCCACCAAGGGAGGCTGCTGAGGGGCTGAGACCCACACAGGCCAGGAGCACGCAGCGTCCTCCTGAAGGGAGACTTTGCCTCCACATTTCCTCGTCACCCTGCATCACACCTCTCCGTAATATACATTGAACCCAGAGTGTGGCCTGTGTTTCTCCCACTAACCGCAAGTACAACATTCCTAGGAAACCCTTTCATAAGCCAAGTGTGAAGTGAAGCTTCCATTACCATTAATTTGTCTGAGAAAAATACCGACGCATTCGCACACTCAAAGTATAACCTACCAAATCTTATCCAATAATGATGCACAAAACCTCAAATGAGACCAGCCTCTCATGCTGAAACGCAGAGTTCAAAGCTTGGTGGCTTTGTTGCTGAGAAGCCGGGCTGAGTTCCTGAGGCAGGAGCTTGGGGTGCCCTCACCAATCAGGGCACAGGGCCCCCCTAACACTCAGTGTTAATTTCACTTTTTGGTTTTTTGGTGTTGTGGGGGTTTTTTTGCTAGTTTCACTTTTCACCTCTTTTGGTAAAAGCAAAAACTCTTAAATTCTTGTTAGCGCAAACTTGTATTAATGCAGATCTTTCAAGAACGGGAAGTGGTGTGAAGTGAACATTCAGAGAGCAGGAGGACCCCACAGGCCTGACACCCGACATGGCACTGGGACACTCCAGGGCTCCCCTGCCGTCCCCGAGCCAGGGAACCAGAGCTTTCCAAACAGATCCACGTCACAGACATTGAACGGCAAGATAAGCAGGGCCCCAAGGTAAGTTACTGACAAAAAGGGCTATTTTCAGAACACAAGCAGAGCACAGACAATAAAAATTCCAGGTTTAAAAACTCAGAAAAGGGGTTAATAACAATCTCTAACACGGAGTCCTCGCGACTCAGAGCACAAGGCTCCTCTGCACAATGTCACCCCAGTGTGTGCTTAGACGTGCAGGACCCTGGGAGGCAGCGAGGAGCCTGGTGTCAACACAGCAGCCTCGAGCACCGGGGCTGAGGACACCGCGCTAGAGAAAAGGGTCCAGAAGTACAGGCTACACCTGCCCACAGGGGAGAAGGCAAACAACGGTCGTTAGGTGCTGTCAAGGCATCAATGGCTGAGTGACCCGATGAACAACAGCCTCATCCTCACCCTGACACACCTGGGCCCACTGCCGCCGTCACTGCGTCAATCACCTCGCTGATGAGAGTCTGCCGCTCTTTTGCTAACGCTCCACCTTTCTGAGCAAGATGTCCTTCCCCAAGGACCGGCCCTCCCAACAACAGCTCCAAACATGTGGCATGAAGCTTTACCACCTTGGCCTCCAAAAAGCAAGCTGCCTGCACTCTTTCCAAGACACGTTTGTTCGCTCTGGCAGTCTGCGGGATATTTCTCTTCTCAAAACTCCACAGCTCAAAGGCAATGATTCTTCTCCTGTCATCCTTAGTCACTGCCCAAATTTAAAACGCAGATACCAAATAACTGAAAAGACTTGGCCGGAATCAGATATGCCTTAGTCTTTAAACTGAAATCACTGCTCCTTAACGCCTTGCAGAAGTCCTTGACAGTAGATTTATCCAATACAACTTCTGATTTCTTTACTGCTGGTGCCAAAGGTGTTGACGGTAAATGCAAGGCGCGTGAAATCATTGACAACAATGATTATTTCTCCATCTTGTCATGATACTGTCTACTGGCCCAGTGTTAAGGATCTGTCTTCTTGATGTCAAGAAGTAATCCATGTTGAAGGCTGTAGTAGTCTTTTATCTTCTACACCAAGTGCTTCAAATCCTCTTCACTTTCAACAAAGTTATCGCATGTTGTTGATGAGTCTTCCTCTGATCCCAAGGCCACACTCTTCTTCATAAAGTCCAGCTGCTTGATTAATTTGCTCAACATACTGAGACTCCGGAAACCCTATGAACCTGGAGAGAGGATGAAAGGCACCCAAGCGTCGAGGACTCTCCTTCACAGGGTCGCTATGAGTCGCCTGCGACTCCAAGGCACTTAACAACAACAACAAATGTTTAGTTAATCTGCTCTTTTATCATTAGTGTTTAATGCCTCAAACCTATTCATTAGACAGCCGGTCTTAAATTCCTATGCAGTAAACTCAAGGTCATGATTTTGGTTCCTGGGGACTTTTATATTTTCTTCAGCTTCAATTTGAACTTGTTGTTTTGCTATATGCCACGGCGTCAGAACTGACCCAGACCTGACCCTCCAGTGGGTTTTCAGAGGCAGTAATCGCACAGGCAAGATTGTCCACCCTCCTCCGGCAGAGCAGGTGGATCTGAACCTCATGCTTGCAGGATCGCAGAAGTCACTGACGGTCTGGGCCACGGTCGGCACCTGGCTAGTTTTAACTGCTGACAATGACCTTCTCCAACCATTTTCTTGCACAGACATAGTTCATCTGATTCCTGTGTAGTCCATCAAGTGAGTAGACACTATGTTTTTTAGTTTTTATTTTTGGGGTAGTTTTTTTATCCCATGTTCACCCCACACCTACTCATCACTGCTTTTTTAAAGAAGATATCTGTAAGAATGAAGCAGTTACTGTGTAAAAGTCAGTCACCTGACCATCGGCCTCACCGCTGTCACTGAGTCCTAATTTCCAACTCCGTATCTTTCTTTAGGGGAGTTCATGATGGTTAAGGAATTGTACTGCCAGAGGCAGGGGGTTCCAATCCACTAGACGCTCTGTGAGCCAACGATGGGCAACGCCCTCCCCTGCGATTCCCGCCTCTGAAAACCCACCGGTGGCTCGGCTCCAGTCGGTTCTGCCTTAACGAGGCGGCGCACTCCACTGTTTCCCGCGTCTGCATTTCAGTCGTCAGTGATCCTGACTGCATGCTTGGTCCGCTCCATACTGCACAAGGTGGGAAAAGTCCTCGGTTCCTGACTCTCTGGTTCTTGTTAGTGGACACATTGGAACAATGGTTTCTTCAACAGTCTTTCCTTGTAGACGTAAGAATATTCTACAGGATAACTTATTTCTAAGACTGAAAACGTTTTAATGAAGTTAAAGTTAAGGCAACTGACCTTGAGAGTTGGAACAAGGAGATATTCAAAAGACCCTTTCAGCTGCACAGGTCTAAGGGATTACGACAGCAGGCACATACATAAAGTTCAAGATCCCAGGTGCCGAAAGACAAAGCATCGATGATCCTCTGTGCACATAATTGGCCCTGGAGTCATGAGGGACAAGTCACCTGCTTTTTCAGGCTTTGTGTGCGGGAGCATGCCAGGTTTTAGACAAGCAGAGGCTCAGACCTCCATCAGATGCTGCCCTCTTCCTGTGCCCACCAGCCCAGTGATGAGGGTCCACCACTTACAAAGCAGGCCAGCCCAAGTTCTGACCCAGTAGATACACTTCAGGAGCGAGGCTCCCTAAAGTCACTCTGAGGGGACTCACTCAATTCGGGCCAGCCAAGAGTGTGTCAAGTCCTCTGTGCCAGACAGGTGAGGTCGCACACTGGAAGCTTCGGCACCGTGAGTCCTTGTGGAGTATGCGTAAGAACCTGCACCTCAAGGCCAAGGCCATCGACTCAGAGGAGGGCTCAGGAGGTCACACGCTAGGAGCTTCTGCACCACTATGAGCCCTTGTGGTACATGCATGAACCCCCACGTCTCACGGCCAAGGGCAGTGACGCAGAGGAGGCCCAGCAGGGCATAGGCAGAGCCACACACTGCCATGATAAAAGCACGGTGGGTCCAAACAAAGTACTCTTGGTCCTGAACCAGGGCCTTCTGGAGTCTGTCTGCCAGAGAAGCCCCTCTGTGCACCAGTACCCAGCTCCAGGCCCCTGTGCCAGCCAGCACATGCACACAGCTACAGACGCTGTCCAATGAGGAGCTGTGCCGGCTGACGGGCCGTGGCACTGAACTTAGCACAGTTCACCAGCCTGAGGACCAGGGAAGACATACAGCCCATGCACCAGTGGGGGCCACACAAAGCCTGGCTGGACACCAACTGTGGCTCTCATCCTAAGCCACTGCAGGTGTACAGGGCACACAGGCACTTCATTTACTCAGCTCCAACGCAAAACCTCTCACCTTCCTCAAATTTTATTCTAGAACTTTTCGGGAGAATCTCAAACCACTTCATCTTTTGGTTACTTCTGTTCCAAAAATACATTCATGCATTATCCAATTATCACTTGTTCTAACCTATATGGACAACATATTACATTCTTTTTTTTAATAAAGCAAAGATAAATTTATTAGAAAAGATATTTCGCACAGAGCGAGATGGATTCTCCTGAGTTAAGATCTGCGTATCACAGTCTTAAATCTATTCTTCAACTATTCTCTGTGAACACTAAATTCTCCAATGTCCTGAGACCAGAGATGACAATTCCAGGATTTCTACCTCATGACACATGTCTAATAATACAAACCTAGACAGTTTGAAACTCAAATTTAATATGAAATACTATTTCTGCAAATCACACTGGAGTAAGAAATCACTGTAGAACTAAATAATACTAATAATACAATGTGGAAAAACACAAGGTAAAGACTACTCATTAATGTCTAAATGCAGACAGGTGTGTGGACTATCCACCAAGAGAAGCAGGAATGCAGCACTGCGGACGCGATCACTAACTTGAATGGCAGCAATAAACTGCAACAGGGGCACCTAAGGGAAAAAAGAAGACCAGAAGTAGCTAAGACCAGAAGTGGATGACAGAACACCGGCTAATGCCGTAATACCTTTAAGCTTGGTACAGGTGTGGAGGAGCGGGTCGGCAGACACCATGCACGGCCACCAAGGGTAACCGGACACTTTAGACCACACCAAATCTCCAATGTTGTACTTCAGAAGATGGTCTCTGTCTCTGCTGATGCTTGGACAAGAGTCTTTCTTGGCTGGGATCTGAAAATTGAACAAGGGACAAATAATTAACATCCAATGACTACCACTAAGTCAGCCTCTTACGCACAGGGAAGTAAAAGGGTTTAAGACACACAGTCACAGGCGCACTCACAGAACCCTAAGAAAGGGGCACGCTCCCACCCTGCTAGTTTTAATTCCTACCCTAAGTACCACTCCACGCTTGCTGGTCTCTGCTTGTCTTCAACACAAGAGCCAGCAGGGTGCCTGGTACCCAGTGGGAGCTCACCATCATGAAGATCTCTCCTTTACTCCACTTCTCAGGCCTGTGGGGGGTCTCTAAGAGTGCTTCCCCGACCTGGTGGCAAGAAACTGTCACAGTGTCCTGAATGCACACTGGGAGCCCACACGTCTGGCTATCAGTGCTCTGCAACAGTTACCCAACAGGAAAGGACCCAGGTGTCAAGGGCACCAGGAAGAGCTTCACCTGTCCTCCAACGCATCATGTGGGCTCAGAACCTTCATTTTTCATCTTTAGAATGGGGTTGGTCATGAGAACTGAAAAGTCTGCTCTCCGCCAACAGAATTCTTTAACTGCCTCCTCCTTCCCAGAGCTTAGCCCAGACTCAAAGGCAGAGGTGAGAGAGGAGGGCTTTCTCTTTCCTTAACTGAATGAACCCAATAACCCTTCCCACTTCAGGTTTACGACAGAAAGGTCATCATCATTTAATTTAACTGGGTAACATAAAATTATATAGCATAGGGCAGCAACTAAAAGAACGTCTGGCAGACCTAAGTATGAATTTCTGATTCGATGCTTAGGCAAACTATTAAATATCTTTGAGCCTCAGTTTCCTCATCTGTAAAATGAGGAATGCTGTTGTTGTTGTTTTGTGCCACCGCCTCGGAACGGACTCACAGCCGACCCTCCAGTGAGTTTTCAGAGGCAGTAAATCAAGTAAGAGGAGACTGCTCACCGTTCTCTGGCTAAGAAGCTGTGGATGTGGGCTGCAGCACAGCTTCTTCCCGCTAGAGCTCCCTAAAGGCGGCTTCCAGGCCCCACATTTCACTAGGTTCTTATAAAGACCACACCCACAGGGCCGACTGGTCAAGGTTCAGAGTTGCTATGAGTTGTACTCAAAAGCACCTAACAAAAATATGGTGCTGGGGGTTGGAAGACTTAACGAGAGTTCAAAAACCAGGAGTCTGGAGAGGAGGGAGAAAATGTGCAACAACAGTAAAAACAAGACTGCAGTCCTCAAAATATTCCACAGCCCCCATTTGTCTATTTATAGTGTCATGTGAGCTACACACAGCTTTCTGGGACAAGCACTGCCACCTCCTTTCTGCAAATGGGAGAGCTGAAATTCAAGTAGTTAACCTGGGTTTAAACAAGCCAAATGGATAAGCTGAGCATCAAAACCAGGTCATGCATCCTGCATGAAAGCGACCATGAGGACGTCAAAAACCACACTATCAGCCCCGAGTACGCATGAGGTCTCTCAGAACTGACCACTGTCATTAAATTAGTAAGAGTTAAACAGTAAACAGCTCCCAGGCACTCAAAAAAAGGGCATTTATTTTAAGTCTTTGGTGCCTTTGGTACCACTTTAGGAATTCCAAAGAAACTTCTGCCTTCCTTGCCACCCCTCCCTCCAAAAAATAAAATGTGTCAACTCTAATTTTAAACCAAATAGTCCAACTTGGGTGATTAACACCAACTCCAAAGTGGCCCCCTTTTCCTGCTCTGGCCTGTAGAACCCCAGGGGCAGGTGGGTGCAGTGTTGTCTGGCACTAAAGGCTAAGTGCACAAGCTTAAGGGCCCCAAGACGTCCCCCCAATGCTGCACTCAAATCAAGCACATGCACACAGGCTGGGCGCCAGCACGATGGCTGATTCAAACATCCCACCCTCATCTCGCGTAAGGGCCTCAGCAACTTTTTGGGAAGAACCACAGAAGTCTGATCTCACAGAGATCACAGCCTTGGAAATCCTGAGTCAGTTTTACCTGTCCCATGAGGTCGCTACCAGTCTGAACTGACCTGGTGGCCAACATTTATTTAAGGTTCCGACAGGGTGACACCACCAGCTAGAAAGAAACAGACCTGCCCGGGGCTCTTGACTTCAGGGAGAGTTCTCCACCCTGGCCTTGGACGAATATGTCCCTGTCCCTTTATACTGTCAGTACTGGGCTCGTGCTACCAACCAACAAGAAAACCCAGGCCCAGGCCCAGCCTCAAGGGGTCAAGCCAGGCGCTGGAGCACCTGCTGAGGAGACAGGACAGGTGAGGGGGCGGACAGGGACCAGTGGGGGCAGGACAAGGACATGGGCACTTCTGTTTCCCACTTGTTCCAAGCCATGGATTTAAGAGCTGGCAATCTCCACATCCCCCATGACCACGGGGCTGAAGGGTGGGGTGGTATGGTGCTCACGGCTGGCACAGCCATCTCTAGAGAGAAGTCATCTCACCACAGACTCAACAAGTGGCATGCTGGCTCAGTGGCGTGCCACACAGTGCACAATCCACGCCACGCCGAGCCCAGCCCACAGCCCAGGCTCAGGCAGTGTCAGCCACGTGTGACAGCCTCCCTGCGGGCAGCACCGCGTCCAGTCCTACCGACTCCACGGCACCGGCTGCTGTGCCCTCAACACCTGCCTCGTCTTTATGTCCTTAACCTAATTCCAGAAGAATTCCTTCAATACCTTTTTGTCTGCTGGACTTGAGATCTTGGATACGAGAGCTGCTTCAACAAGGTCCTGCTCCAGGAAGGAGTCATATTTTATGCTTCTTTTTCTGCTCCGTCTTGCCTTGTTTTCCGATTTTTGTACATTTTCTTCTGCTTGGGACACATCAGCTGCAGTGTCACCACAAATAGAAGATTCAAAGAGAGGTTTCCCATTCATGTACGTTTTAGTGATTTTCAGCTTGATTTCTGGAGAGCCATTTTTCACAGGGGTAGTGTTAGGTGGAGTTCCAATCCCTTTCACTTCCTGGGACTCAAAGCGCAATTTGGCGTCATGAGCGCCAGGTTCGCCATTGAACACACGAGAAGTGAGGTCTTTCAACTTCTCAGCCGGGATAAAAGGAAGTGCATCGTGGCCATTAAATCTTTGCATGGCCCCCTCTTGCAGGGTGGTAGAAAGCTGGGCTTTGCTGAGGAATACAGAACATTCACGATTCACTTCACAGTTCTGAGTCTTTCCATTCGTACTGCCGACGATCTCCGGGGCCTGCTTCATCTTTATGCACTCGACAACCTTCTCAACAGAAAGAGGAGCTTTTTAATGCTTAAGTCCATTCAGCCCAGATGCATCCATCCTTAGAACACTACAGCATTGCAAAAGAGAAAAAAGAAAAGGCAACACGTTACATTTAACACCAAAATTAGGTATTCTGATACCACTATAGCTTTGCATGCATTTTTTAAGCAATTTATGATATTTTATATAATAATCTGGGTCTTAGGAGATGGCTCTAGCATCACAAAATACCACAGAATCACAAAATGATTATATTGAAAAGAAAGCAAGCCAGGAATTAAAAAAATTAGAAATTGGTCACAGGCACTGAGCTCAAATCGTGCCTCTTCCACAGCCCACGGTTCAGGTGAGTTGGCCATGGACGTCTAAGTGTTTCATCATCCTAGGACAGCAGACACCCACCTGTCAGTACATTAAAACCTTAAAAAATGCAGCGTCAATGTGGAAAAGGCAGCTAGCACAATGCCAGGCCTGTGCCAAAAGTGGGGAAAAGGTCAAGAACAAAGCCAAGAGTAACAGGAAAGGCGCATGGCCGTCTTCAGTCAGCTGGCAGCGACACCAAGGTTAAGCCAGATCTCACCAAACCTGCAGAGTGCAGGCAGTCCTCGACTCACGAAGTACCGAGCACGTTAGTAATAAGTAGCCTGGGAATACAGCAGTCACAGTGCTCAGCTAATAACCCAAAGTGGGTGGTTCAAACCCACTAGCCACCCTGTGAGATAAAGGCCTGGCAGCCCGCTCTGTAAAGGTTCGCAGCTTCGGGAACCGTCGGGGCAGTTCTACTCTGTGGATGAAGTCATCATGGAGTCCAGCACCTGGGTGCGGCTGTCGATATAGCTGATCTAGGACTTACAGTGTGGCGGGTGTCCTTAAATGTTCCCATGCACACTGAATTTATAAAGAGAATAAAACGCAGTAAAAGCAAAAAGATGCCATTTCCATCAGAGCCTACTGAGAATGGAGTCAGGTCAAGGGCAGCCAGTCGGAAGTCGGGGCTGCCTATACTAGCTCTGGGCTGGCTGAGCAGAGACAAAAGCCAACAGTTACATAGTGAAATAACATTCGGTCAGTCCTGGCTTGTGCTCGCTCGCCTAGCTGCTGTCCCCATGCCAACCTCTCCCTGCTCCACAGCAAACACTGGTGATAAGGAACACTGGAAGGCCATTCAATTTAGCTAGCTACCGCCCAGAGAGTCACTAGGTGCAAGCACCCTGCTGTGCACTGGGAGACGACAGTCCCCCTGTGGCCCCGGCAGCTGAGACCCATGCGGGCTGTGATGAGCCTGAGGAAGTCTTCTGGCTGCAGAACGCTGCTGAGCTGCCCCACTCCCCGGTCAGCACATCACTCAAATCAAGGGCAGGAACCCTAAAGGGCTGGCAGGCATGAGCCACAGGCAGGCACCCACTCAGGCGGAGACATCCAGTGAGAGCCTGCTCTTCGACAAACACAGTCCTTGGAGAAGGTAGTTATCAAAGGCTGGGGAGACAGTAACAGGAACTGCAGATGCCCACTGATGGACCATAGAGGCTCCCAACCAAGGACCATCCTGCACTCCCAATGACATCAACTCCACAGCATACGCTAACAACAGAAACGCTTCTGACTGTCACCTTGTTACATGCGTCTCGTGTATCACAGAAGATGCCAGCGCTGTGCTACAGTAGACAGTACCCAACAACAACTGTATCTAGTGGGCAGAGGTCAAGAATGCTGTTAAACATCCCACAAGATAGCCTTGGCAATGAAGTATCTTCCAGCCCAAACTGTCACCAGTGCCAATGCTGCGGAGCTCGGAAAAGGAGCAGTAAAGAGTGCTAGTGTCTGCCACAGCGAAGAAAGGGGTGTGTTTAAAACAGCTTCACGGTCTAATTTAGGTCAACGAGCCCAGATCAAGTCTAGGGAGAGAGCTCTGTTAGCCTAGTATTAAGAGGCTGTGCTGCAATCTCAAAAGCACAAAGTTCAAATCCACCAGGCTGGTGAACAGGAGAAGGATAGGTAATCTCCTCCCATATGATTTACTGCCTCTGAAAAGTGCTGGACAGTCAGCTATGGGTCAGTTCCAACTTGACGGCACCTAACAACAAGTGTGAAGTCTGTAGGGAGCTGGGCTGCTAACTCAAAGGCCACACTTCTCTGATGGTTCAAATCCGGGAAGAAAGAAGGTAAATCTCCTCCTGTGCAATTTACATCCTCCAAAACCCAACGAGGGACACCTGTAGGTGAGTTCTAACTCAACTGCAATGAGAGAGACAGGGGGCTGAGCAGTGAGAGAGAGGGAGGGAGCCACGCAGAGAGAGGTAAAACCTAACACTATGATCCACATAAGAAGGCTTAGTCTGACCCACATGCATTAAAACAAAGACAAAGCAGAGGCGCCTCCTCCCCCGAGAAGGCACAGGACTGCCTAGAAACCAGCCATCACACAGGCAGCCTCCACACACTCTGCACCAAACAGAAAACTCAACCAGCCAGAAAGCAACCACAAGGGGGAAACAGGATGGGCGCGAATGCCCGGGAGGAAGAACCCTTCTTGGCGAGTTCCTGGGGTCTGATAGCTTTGGGCCTGGGGAGAGTGAAAAAGTGGAGCAGCTGTAAAAGAGGAGAAAGCCCCCAAAATGAGAGATCTGCAGCAGGAGAGCCCCCAGTTCTGCAAATGTCTACTGTCCAAACGTCAAGCTGACACGTGTGGGACTGACTCAAGACAGTCTAACTTAAAAGTAACTGAAAAGGATTCTTGCCAGACAAGAACAAGCCGATTCTTTTCCACACACTGCTGGTGCGGAGTGCTGTGAGTCGGCACCCACCCACAGCTGACCCTCCAGTGGGGTAAGGCTGTAAATCACAGGAGAGACCGCCCATCTTTCTCCCTCGGAGTAGGTGGCGGAGTCGAACTGCGAACTTTTGTGCTGGCAGGACAATTCCTTACCACTAAGCCACCAGCGCACCCTCCACACTGTTCTTGGGGCCCTTTAAGTCAGCTCTGGCACTTACTTTTGACACTCAGCAACTTCAAATGCAACAGAAGCAAGCCCCGCCCACTGCGGCAACCCCTGTGCTGGCCCCACTCACTGAGGGTCTTCCTCTCTTTCACTGACCCTCGACTTGTTCCAAGGATGATCGCTGACTACATAAAAGCACAAACTGCTAACACCACCAACTGGGATCTTTACCTCTGCAATGACCATTTCTAAGGTTTTATTTCATTTGCTTCAATGACTTTTTATGTGAAACAACAAAGGAACCAGAGACAGGGACACTGGTCCTGTTTTACAGCAACTCTTCTAGACTCCACACCTAGGAAATGCTAGCGGCAGGGGTGAAAAGCCCTGGAAATGCATCAGACTGCCCCCCACCACTAACTCACCCTCAGTAAACACCTGGAGGTTCCAAGTACTTACACACACTCCCATTCTGCACCTCAGAGGCATGGCGACTGAGAAGACATCAAGGTGGGAAGGGACTTGCCCAAAGTCCTAAAGCTAGAGATCAGTATCCCATGCCCAGCAGTCACGCTCCAGGCGTTGCTCCTACGAGGTCTATCACAAGATGAGCAAAAAGAGAGTCATTTCTACTCGATCTCCAAGCTTCAGACCATTAACCTCTTCCTTTCCCAAGAGACAAATCTCCTCACGAATATACTCCGCTCCATCAACACATAACTGGGGAGGGAATTTTACAGTTAGGTAAATATTATCCAGTTAACTTTCCTTTACAAATTGGCAGATCAACAGATCTTTACTTCTCCACACTGCTATGCCTAAATGCAGTTCTTCAGCCTTTTCAGCTGAGATGTATTATTCATCATGCAAATATATCATTTCTATTATCCAAGTAAACATTAAGTATCATTAATAACACATGCAAGCAAAATATTGCTGAGGAGCGTCCAAAAATAGCCAGAACAGTAGAGTGAGAGGGAATTGTCACAAATTCAAGTAGGATTTAGAAGAGGAATACCATTACTGATATCAGGTGGCTTCTGGCTGAAAGCAGAGAATACCGTAAAAGTACTTTGTGCTTTATTGACTATGCAAAGGTATTTGACTGTGTGGATCAAAAGAAAATGTGGCTAACATGGAGAAGAATGGGAGTCCCAGGACGCTTAATTGTGCTCATGTGAAAGCTATGCTTTGAGACCAAGAGGCTGCTGTCGGAACAGAGGAAGGGAACACTGCATGGTTTAAAATCAGTAAAGGTGTGTGTCAAGGCTGAATCCTTTTTCCATACCTAATCAATCCTTATGCGGAGCAAATCCTTCAAGAAGCTAGACTCTAGGTATGGCATCAGGATCAGAGGAAGACTCAGAAAACAATCCACATTACGTAGATGACACAATCTCGCTTCCTTATGGGAGGAGGACTTGAGCTTACTGACGATCAGTGACTACAGTAAATGACGTATCAAGGTCAAGAAGACAAAAATTCTCACCACTAGACCAATAGGAAACATCCTAAGAGATGGAGAAAAGAATTAAACTGTCAACGATTTCATCTTACTTGGATCCATAATAAACACTGTTGGTACCAGCAGTCAGGAGATCAGGAAACATACTGCACTGGAAAGTCTGTTTGTCAGGGATCTCTCCAAATTACTGAGGAGCAAGTGTCAGTCTGAAGAAGATTTAGGTGAGTCTGATTCAGACCATGGTCTTTTCATTCACTTGCTATGCATCAGATAGGTGCACAATGAAGAAGCAGGGCAGAAGAAGCAGTGATGCTTGAGAAGTTGTGTTGGTCGGCCAGGGGACAGACTGCCAAAACTACAGTGTGTCCTTTGTACCTACTTCCTTTCTGTCTTTTTCCGGTGTCCAAGATGTCAAAGTGGGGACACAATGGGTTCTCCGGTGCAAAATTCTGGATTTCCCTGGGTCTTCTGGTAGGAGCAATGATCAACTGTGCTGACAACACTGGAGCCAAAAATCTATACACCATTTCTGTGAAGGGGACCAAGGGCAAGCTGAACAGACTCCCACTGCATGGGGATGGACATGGCCATGAAAGAGAAACGAG